CATAAAAATTACGTCATTATCAAATTGTTATTATAAAAAGTAACAGAATAAAGATGAAATTACACAATGCTCGATTTCTTGAATGACACGCATGCATATGTAGATATGTCTGCTCTGATGTATGCTAGAATTCGTTGATGTATTGAGTATTATATACTCATATACATGATTTTTTATATTTATTATGGATTACTCAATACTTATTTCCTTGCATATACCAATCAAAAGAAACAATTGCTAATTTCATAGTTATTTGTCAAGCATCAGACTGTAAAGCAACTATAGGAACATGCACATTTATGCACGCATGCATCTATACTTATCATTCAAGAAATTGAGAATCGTGTGATTCCATTATAATTGTTCCATTCCTTGGTAATATGATGGAAGTATTATAATATTATTCCCAACAATAAGAAATAGAAGTAATGGCCGTAACGGTCGAAACTAGGTCTTTAATATAATTAAATCTGAATAATTCAATCTGAATAATTCAATATACTATATATGTACTTGCATATATATCATATTTAGTCATTCAAACGCGCTGAATTGGTTTTTCGGATTTAAAACGCAATCAAACTACTGTAGTAATATTACAAATTAAATTGATAAGCAATTTTAATAATTTAATGCTCAATCAGATATTCTATTAAAAAAATGTTAATAAAAACTATAAATAAATTTATTGAGAAAAATATTATCTCGGCCGGGAATCGAACTTGGATCTCTTGCATTCCGTACAAGAATTCTAAGCTTATAAAACTACCGAGGCAAGGTAGTCTTAAAATATAAAATATATAGTTTAATCATCTTTTTAATAAGATGCTCAATTGAACATCAAATTATTAAAATTATTTGTAAATTTAATTTATAATACTACTACAGCAGGTTAATTGTATTTATAAGTTAGCAAAAAACCAATTCAGCACGTAGTTATAGAATGACTGCAAATATGGTATATATGCAAGTATACATATATATTATATATGTGTATATATATTTTATATA